ATGGAGGGAGGTGCCTCAACGCCAACACCACCTGTTGCATCTCCATCTGTACATGATGGGAGTAACAGTGACCATAACCATATGAATGGTGAGATGAGGGGGGATGATGATAATAATGCTATTAATAATAATAAAAGGAAAGCAATGATGATTTTTCTTTTGTGTTTTGTTTAAAGATTGATGATGTGTTGACTCTACTAGTCTTGTTTGTTTGTGTTTTTTCCTTATAATTGCTGTAACTGGATCACTTATAATCCACATTGTTGACTGTTCCAAAACTTTCTGTCACAATCTTTTCTACATGTAGATATTTACATTATTATAAAATTCAACCATGAGCACGGAATCTGAATTGCAGGCTAAATACGATGCCGCCGTCAAGCGCTATGAAGCTGCTGCACAGGCCGAGACAGCTGCTAAGAAGGAAAGGGATGAGAAAGAGGCTTGGGTACGGAAAACACAGAAGGGCACCAAACAATATTATCTCGCTTGGGCAGAAATAAACAAGGCAGAAATAGCATTTACTGAAAAGGTTGAACAAAGGTATGCTGCTGAGTATAAGAGAGATTTGTGCTATGCAGACTGGATGAAATACAGGCACGGGTCTGACTCCAAGGAAGCGCAAATAGCTCAGCATCGTGCAGAGTTGTCTCACACAATGGATTTGGTTCACAGTGGAAGCTCTCCATATTGGATAAAATGGGACAAGTTGTGTCGTAAAGCCGAGTGGGTGTGGAGTCAGCTCAAGGCAGAAGGTTATGACAACGTCGCGGAGAAGCTCAGAAGCGCAAGAGAAGTGTTTTGTGATCGTATAAAAGAAGAAGCCAATGGTAAAACCTTTCGCAATACCCGAAATGCAGCCTTAGTAGCGTTGAAGAAATGGGAGCAAGGTGATGATCGTGCAGCCTGGGATAAGGGAAAACCAGTGTACGACGCTGCGTTAGCCAAGTGGAATGAGTTCAAACCCAAAGGTGAACAATACGCGGAGGAGTTGGAGAATGAAATATGTGAATGTGCGAAAACATCTTTAACAGTGTACGCTATTGTAAGTCATTGGGAGAGTAGTGCGTTGAAGAATGACCTCGGTCAAAAAAGTCAAACGATTGATGATTTAAATGATCAACTGGACCACAAGGATGATGACACCGCTGCATTGAAGAATGAACTGCACCAAAAGAGTCAAGAAAATAAAGAGCATCGCACATGGATAGGACCGTTGATGCACACGAATCAAACATTGAACAATTCGCTATGTAAACAGGTTGAAAGATCCGATGCTTTCCAACATCTCATACTAGGGGAAGAGTCTCAAAATTGGTTGGAAGGAAAGACGTCTTCGCATGCAAATTTGGTGAATTGGATCCAGAAAAAAATTGCCAAAATGGCAGCGTTGTAAAAGGATGAAGCTACCGCTCGTAATAAGTATAAGCATGAATTTTATGATTCAATCAAAGAAATTGAGAAGCATTACTTTGCGCTTAAGTAAATGTTGAGTGGGCGGATATTTGATTAGTTTTTCAACTTCTTAACCTCCACAAAATTATGTGTAAAGAAACGGAATAACCGCAGTTTACATACTTGATATCCCACCAAACAATCTATACCATGATTTCCCCTATGTTGATATTATTCATGCTATTGTTAAATCTAACAACAGACAGAGGGACTAAATCGAAGAGAAAAAATAGGAAATAACAATAGAATTACGAAAGAACTATGATGACACTGTCAAGTGTTGTAAAGCCGCCGAACAAGCCGGGTGGCTGCTAAAAAAGAAAAGAAAGAAAATACACGGCGCTCACATGATGCTAATATTTGTGGAATAAATACAAGGAAACTGCCACTGCTGCTCTCTCTGTGTGCTGAGCACTGTGGTGGGGTCCCTTCCAGAGAGTGTTGGTAATCACTTGTTTACTGCTAATAATAAAAATAATAATAATAATAATAATAATAATAATAATAATAATAATAATATAATTGCTACTGTGTTTTTGTACATGGAGCACTGAGAAAATTAATCCTGATGACACCTACCGGGCTAGGGTACATCAATTTGTGTGGGAATACCTAATCTCTTTTCTTTTTTATACTTGTAAGCAGAGCATTGCTGTGCACCTTGTGGTGTGTCTCACTCTGCAATTGTGTGGTTCTGGTAAATGATATCTCTTTTCTTTTTTATTTGCTTTTACATTATTTCTGAGCGTGGTAACATATAATATGTTTGTTCCTATGGGGATACTACATATTGTAATGGGGGTAGGAAGAAACCAACACAAAGAGATTTATACAATATCCGTTATTATTATTTTTGTGTGTGTGGCTATCTCTGCAATGTTACCAAATGATATTCAATTTGATTATAATCTTTTCCTTTTTATTTGGGATTTTATGGGACTTCTTTTTCTTTGAATATTGGGTATTTTCCCTAATCTGTATCTACCTCCGTTATATTCGTGGTTGACTCTATATGTGTGTGTCTCTGTGTGGAGTAGTAGTGGTGTACTGGTGCTTCTGTGTTCTCTCTTCCTTCTTTTTTCTTTCTTTTCCACACTCCATCGAATAGACCTGTGAACTCAACTGACGAGAATAATAACAGTAACAAGCTATTTGACCGTTATTATGATGATGCGCCGTGTGATGTGTGTGTTGGCCGTTGTGCTGTGCTGCGCCTGCGGGTATACCATGACGGCTGCTGCTGCTGATAGCAATGTGGCGTCACTTGCTCCCACTTTTAGGGATTGGGGAGCAACAGGTACATTAACGTCGCCCTCAGTGATTACAGGACAACCCACTGGGACAAGAAGGATCACTGATGAGCTAACGCATTCTCATGGTAGTGAATTGGAGAAGAACGGACTCTCAGGTGGGAGAACAGAAGTAAATGCAGAGGTGTTGCCACCCGAAGGCGATCCAGCTGCTCAAGTGCCTGGTAAGGAGGGTGGACTCTCCAAACCACACGTTTCTTCAGATCATTCCCGTGGAAGTGAGGCAGGTCATGTAGAACGTGGAACATCGGCAGTACAAGGTGAAGAATCTTCTGCTGTTCAAAGTGAAGTGAGTACGTTACCATCA